TTTCATTCTCCCATCCGTCATCAGCCAGGACCTCACCTGCTCAGGTTTTGTACCTGGTAGGGTGTCCCCAAACTTCATTGCCTAAAGGGGTCTAAATCAATCTCCTATTTGAGGTTGTTGTAGTTTTCCATTTAAATTTTGTGATTGGACGTGCAAGTACCCTGGAGAATCCTCTGGATTCCAGATACCTTTCTCCCTCACCCACCGTGTAGGGACAATACAAATGACTCTCAGTGCCAAGAGCACCTGCACCAGCCAAACAGAGAAAACTCTTTTGCCTATTGGCTTAGTGGTAAAATGGCTAGATCTCAATTTCCATCTCAATGGAACTGCTGTCCTGTCCCCTGCTGGGAGCACTCCTCCCTTGGGAACCCATCAAGAGACCTGGGCAATGTATTATCTGAGTGGACTGTTGTGTTGCAGCAGAACTGCTCCCTCTTCCTCTCAATCCAGACCATGCATCACAACCAAGAGCAACAGCCCCAGGTAGCAGTCACGGAGTCAAAGTGTGAATGACTTTTGTCAGATGGAACGTTGTTTTCCACCTGTTCTGTAGCTGTGTCATTAGCAGATGATTCCATCATCCAAATTATGCCCCCATTCTTGGGTGATGGAGGGTACAGTAAGATCAGTGGATTCTAGATGCAGAGACCCATTGCTCCACTTCTTTTACTGGGAAGTGGATTCACTGATCAGAAGTGGTGTGCAGGGTATGCATGATGGTGCATAAGACATTCAGTCAGTCCATGGACTGTGGTGCTCATAAGGCACTGGGAGGAACTAGCTGCTTCCCCAAGATGGAGAGGGCTAGAAGGTGCATCGCTGTCACCTTCACAATCAAAAGGAGCAAGTTTAAATTCAGGCTTTTTTTTTTACTTTGCCGGGGGGTTGGGGTTGCGGGGCACCCAAGTTTTCCGGGGTTTTGGGGAGGCCGGTTACCCCTTACCTCATTTATTGCTGAGAACGAAATTAAACAAAATTAATGGAAGTCTGATGAGGTACATACCTCCAGACACACCCCTACACGTAATTGCATGCACTTCTGTGTTTGGTACTTTTTAGGGTTTTAGACACATCTCCCTCTGTTGCCCAGGCTGGAGTGCAGTGGCAGGATCATAGCTTACTATAGCATCAAACTTTTGGGCTCAAGTGATCCTCCTGCCTTAGCCTCCTGAGGAGCTGGGACTATAGGTGCATGCTACTATGCTCAGCTAGGTTTTCTACATTTTTTGTAGAGATGGAGTCTCATTATCTTGCCTACGCTGGCCTCAATTCCTGCCCTTAAGCAATCCTCCTGCCTTAGCCTTCCAAAGTTCTAGGGATTATAGGAATAAGTCACCAGGCCTGGCCTATACTTATTTAGAATAGGGTTCAGACTAGGAGGTGGTCTGGTCAGTGATAAATTCTGTTGGTCTGTACCATAAGTAACTAATGATTGTTTTTGATCCATCAATGGGAATTTCTTATGGTTCAAGCTAATGCATCATTATATTCCAAACTGATAAGATTTTTTTAGTTACTACCTAGATAAAAGTTAATTATTAAATTAGACTAAGGGTTTCATTTGAAAGTGTAAGAAATTAGAAAAAGTCAAAGTAGATGTTTATTACAAAACAACCTTTTCTATTAATTAAATGCTTTAAACAAAAATCCCATAATACCATGAACTGACAATGACCTGCTGGCATGCAAAAGCTTCAGGCTGGAGAGGCAGGCTTGCTCTTGATGAATTTACATAGAATGAATTGTTATGATATTTGATTTCAAAAAGTATGCATTAATTGGCCTCACATGATTAATAATTCAAAGTGAAACATAAGTTTAAAAACTGGTATTAATTTCTATGAGTCCATTCAAAGTCAGTGACTGGAGAACTACAAAAAAACCTGAAGTCAATGAATCTTTAGGAAGCAACCCTGTGCCGATGTATGTTTGAAGATCAAGGGCTAGAAACATACTCTTAATGAATACTATTAACAAAGGATGTATAACATCCATCACATATCTGTTTCAGAAACAGCATGCTTCCAAAATGATACACCCCTTTACAAATGGACATTATAGTATTACAGGTATGGAGACACCATCAGCGTGAGTTCTGAAATACGCTGCTGTCTTTCACAAGCCGTCCCTGACCCATCTCTTGAGGCATCCGTTTTAGTCTTGGGGCTTCAAAAACATCTTCTTTGTTTTAATTGGTTTTACATCTCCATTTTCATCTTCTTCATAATTGGCACGGTCTCTCTTCTTGGCAAACTTTTTCCCAATTGTCCCCACCAAGGTCTCGTATCTGTTAAGATGATATACAGCACAAGTTTAATTGCAAGGAAAAAAAAATACAGGGACCAAGTCTTATCAAGAATACTAAACCAAACATGCAACAAAAAGAGTAACAACAACAAAAAAAACCTATAATCAAAGGCAACTGCCTAATAAAAAAAATCCATAAACTTCTCTAAGAATGATTAAATTATCTGCTCTTCTGGTTTATATGATTGTAAATAAATTCAGATGTACATTTAAAAATATGTACTGGAACCAGCACTGGAAAATAAGCCCTCAAAGCCAGCTGGTGATAGGTCTGAATGCCCGTGCGGCCGTGTGAGAGGAGGCAGATTACAGGCACCTTCCTGCTGGGGCATTCCCTTTACAGCTACTGTATGTACACGGGGGAACCACAAATTCAGGGTCCAGCTTATAAAGCTGCCCACGGCAAGGGTTACCTTCTAGCCATTTCTTCATCTGATACATCAGCCTCCTCTGTTTCATCTTCAACAACTTCTGCTTTGTTCTTAGAATTCATCTGAAGCATCAGTTTCTGCAAAATACACCAATGTGGACCATCAGGGCTAGAAAAGGCTTGTGAAAAGAACAAGTGTCAAACTTACTGGAAGGTGGAAAAATCAAAGTCACGGAACCTAGAGAACTAGCTGAACTTTACAAGGGATTCCCTGTAACTATACGGCACAATATAGTAACAGAGGTCAGCTATGAAACCTCCAAAAATGGTTAAGACAAAGCCCCGCTAGGTTATATTTAGTGTTGATGAATTTAAATTGTGAGATACTGAATTCTGTTATTAATCGCTCATAACTAAAGCAGGCACACTTCTAGCATGACTGAGAGGGAGAAAGAAAAAAATAAACTTTCAGATTTCCTTGGACCTTCCCTTCATTGAGTCAAATGGAAGAAAGACTGCAGTTCAGAGTAATTGTAAATCATCTGGTGGTGGGTTGGAGGAAGGGGACAGTGAATAATGGGGTAGAAGAACCGGAAGGCTGGCCTTGGTACAAGGAAGGGAATGGGCACCTTAGCCTCACCCTGACCTTTGGGGTGGATAATGCATCTCTCGTGAAGCCCACACTCCTCGGGGCATCTTGCATCTTTCTATCACATTAACTTTCCATGACAGTTATCCTCTGAATTTTTTTTTTTTTTT